GGTTGGTTAGCACTGTTTCGTGAAAGTATATCCAGCAAGCGCGCTTTCTTTTTATCACTCTTCGCAGTGGCAAATTCGTTTTGAGCTTAGAACGAATTTTTAACTTTTCCTTTAGTTTCCGTGCAAAATTTTCTTAAATACATCATCATCGTCGTCGTTACGCGTCTTCTCGATAATTCTCTGTTTAGCATTTCGTGAATTTGCAACGTAGCTATTACAGTTCCGTTAGTTCGAGCCTGTTGAAATGCTGGGTCCCAGGCTGCATCCCCCTTGGAGGGGTTGTACTACATTTTGCCTGGTTATTGCTGGGACATTTGGAGTGAGGAAGCAACGAATGTGGCGAGCACTGCACCCACAGCGGACGGAGGCAGCGGTGGCATCGGCAGTAGCAGCAGCAGCAGCAGCAGTAGAACGATCGATTGGCGGCAGCGACGACGACGACGACGACTACGACCAGCAGGAACATCATGTACGTTGTTCAAAATTGCCCCGTGCACCATCGCTCGCATCCCCCGTACCAGTCCCAATGGTACTTGGATGCTATAGGCTACGCTACCGTGCAACCAAACCACCTGGCAACTGCATTGACCGCGTTGAAGACATACATTTTTAGCGAGATATATGCTTTGCAGCATTCTTTATGGCTGTTTTTTAAGTACCAGCGTATCCGTAATCGCGCGGCGCAGCACCACATCTCCGTGGCCTGCTCAAAAACAATCACTTCCCAGCGAAACAAACCAAACTGTGAAGTATTACACGAATGTGCACTTCCCAAACCCCTCGTTCAACTCGAGTACCAATCTCCCAAATAGATTCCTCGAAGCATCAGCGAATTTATTTTCCTCACAGTTTCAGGAAACTTGGCACTAGGCCTGAAAACGGCCCAGACCCTTGCATCATCGCCCCTGGTCCCCGTCTCGAAATCTTGAGATTTATTGGTTTCGCCTGTGAATAGCCCCGCATTCAATTTGAGTACCAATCTGTCAGATTGTTTCCTCGATCTGACAACGAATTTGTTTTTTCCACGGTTTCAGAGAACTCGGCACTGGTTCACCAGTCCTGAAACCATTTCCTTGAATTCGATCTTGAAATCTTGAGATTTATTGGTTTCACCTGTGAATAGCCCCGCATTCAATTTGAGTACCAATCTGTAAGATTGATTCCTCGACGTGACAACGAATTTATTTTTTCCGCGGTCTTAGGGAACTCTGCAATGGTTCGCCGGTCCTGAAACCATTTCCTTGAATTCGATCTTGAAATCTTGAGACTTATCGGTTACCTTTGTGAAGTTTTCCTTGTTTTCAGTGTACGTGCGCGCTTTCATCGCTTTTTCCAAAGATTAATTAATTTTCGATACTTTTCAGGTTTTCCGCTCATTTTTTAACTTACATGTTTATGCTTGCATGCTAGTTTTGATGATACTGGTGATTATGACTGTTGTGATGATGATTCAAAGTTGCGGCTGACGTAATGCTGTATCTCAAATTTCGCGCAAGATTCAGCCCTGTCGCTAATTTTGTTTCAAACTTTTTCCCGATTTTTATCGTAAATTTTACCATTGTTTTATGGAACGGGGGCAACGACGACGATCACTTGGACGAGCTGTTTGAGTTCTGCTCATTTGACTTGTCAAATTAAAAATCAAGTTGAAAATAGTCCTCCCAGTATGTATGCTGCATGTGTATGGGAAATTCGTGTGACTGAAATTCCAGGTAGCCATTACCACTGGGTTTTATTATTGTTTGCATGTAGAAAAGGCCTAAATCTCATAATCCGCAGCGTTTTGCATGGATATTTGTTGTTTGATTCTTCGGCTGTTAACTGAATGAATGGCTTCGAAATGTTTTCCTTCATTGTTTTGAGCAGTGTGTGTGTGCCATTTCAACCAGTTCAGTGATTCTGCATCGTAGTGCACCTCTGCACCATCCGAGCACATCATGAAATCGGGGGAACTAGGTGATGCCCGGTTTTACGGTTTGCTTTGGTTCGCAGCTGCTTCACCAATTTGCTTCTTTCTTCATTTCCTAGTTGTTTTTTTCTTCATCGAGAAACAACGGATGTATCACCATCCTACGAGTGATATTTCGCTTCATTGACTGGCCTCTTACGCTTTCTAACTCATCCACTATAGGTAAGGGGAAATTTGCAAGTAGTTGCCCAAATAAACCTTAAATGCACCGTATTTTTGACTGTTCGAAGTCGTATTAGAAAGTGGTAACAGCTTGAATACGTAGTAAGTCAGCAGCTGTTACCTCATAACGAGTTCCTCAGTCTGTGTATCTGGCACTTTAGCAGTTGTTTTGGCCAGTACTGCATCGTTTCTCATGCACATGTTGGCCCTTCTGGTGTCCATCGCATCTTCTGAAAGGGTTGGTTATCGGCTATCCATAAACAGCTGATAAGGTATACTTTGGTCTCTTTTGACCAGCAGCAGCTTCGTCTCGAATGTTTTTGCCATTTCTGAACCA